ATGTGATATTTCCTTATCGTGACAAAAATCTATTTTGTTATGATAAGACGTCAGGCATTCTGTTTCACCGGTTTTTATCCTATCATCAACAGCAGCAGCATCACCTTATTCCCAATTAGACATGTCACTGAAATGAAATTAAGTGTCCAATTAGTTTATAAGAAAATGGACTTAATCACAACGCCTTATGGGTTGCTGAATGTATCCATTGGGATTTTGGGGTGAGGGGGTGGTCATCTCTATTCTTTGTGTGTGAGTGTGTGCACTTTTTTCTGCAGCATTTATGTAAACTTTCATGGTTGTAAGATAACCTTACCTCAGAGGATCTGACCCTGAGTGGATATTATGGAGCCCAATAGAACGTGCAAGGACCGATAACAGAATAGCCCCTGAAGTTTACTTTTAGATTTTGTGATTGAAGCATATGTTAGCATTTAGCAGTAGGGCTGAACAAACGGAACTGGCTGAAACAGAAGTGGTGAAAACCAAACTGCTCAAAAGCAATTTTAGCTTGTGCGGATGAGTGCTGATTTACCCGTAGAAGGTTCAGTTTGCTTATTATGATGGAGCACTAATGATGCTTATTATGAATTTATGACAGCCCACATAATATCCAGGGACTAGTGGTACACAAGTCACTTTATGTTGCACTCGCTCAACGGAAAGTCGAGAGAAAAGCAAGAATGCTGGTAATATTCACTTAGATGGATTTACTTGTATGACTAATCTATGCAGATGTGTCAGGTGTGCATATTTTCTCTGCCTTTTGTCTTATTTGCTATGGCTTGCATGCAGGCCCAGTTTTCACAGTTGCAGTTGCTCCAGCACTTGCTCCTTGTGTGGCAATGTATCCTCCGGGTGCCCCAGGTATTGGCCAGCAAATGTTTTATGGCCAAGCTCAACCTGTTATGATTCCTCGCTAGGTATTACTGTTTTTATATCAATTAATTGATCAAGATTTTGCCTGTTATCGTAGTCAATCTCTCAAATGATAAAAATATTTTCAGAGTAGAGTTTGAACTATCAAACCTGTTAGAGTAATTTTACTCTATGCTTAGCGTTCATAAATCTTTATTACCATTATCTTCTGCTTCATTGGAGACATGCAAGGTGTGATGTTGAATAATGACAATCATACGCAAAATGTGTGTTATTGATGCCCTTTATTGTTATAATACGCCTCTAAGGCCACTTCTAATTAGTTTTACCATGAGTTGTTGATGCATCTTTGAAGTTAATAACTGACTATTAGTATTCCTACTTAGTTTGTCATTGTGCTTTATCCTGTCCAATTTTCTTGTTTTGGTTATACTTCTTTAATAATGTTCTGCACATTGGTGAGCTCTTGCACTACACTATGTGTTAATTTGTGAGTATAATTGGGTTAAGATCAGCCAAT